CAATCATTTTCCTCTAGGCATAGAAGGGCCAACCAAAAGTATGTTTAGAGCTTGGACGTAAACTTGATCATGAAAGTTAAGACGTGATTTTAGAGTGAACAAAGGTTGAACTTCATAGAGTCATTTCTTCACCTTTAAAATGATAACCGTAGCATTCATCACCACTTTGTCAAAAAAATGATTCATTTCAATCATGCTATATTTCCTAAAGAGAATAATGAAACACCACCATCTTTAGGAACAATTTTTTTATTATTAACAACCAAATTGCATAACCAATAATCAATAAAGCCCCGCATGCTACGCCTAACAGTATTATTATTAGGAATAGAGCCAAAATGATTCCAAATTATGGTTACAATCTCATCATGCAAAAAGAGGTTTGTAACTAACTCCAAGAAAGGAGTTTTACAACAATGACATTGAGAATGCATCATCACACCACATCGTTGGTCATTGCTATCAATGGTCACTCCATCATTGATAATTTTCCAAGATAAGATCACTAATTTTACTAGTATCCATTTATTCCAAAAGTATTTCCACCATTCAAAATGAGAGCCAATAGAGCTTAGGTATCAAAAAATAACGATACTAAAATCTCCAATTGTTGAAAGAGTGAATATTAGTCCGTTCGGTTCACTAGGCTAAATGTAGATATAATGAAGAGAGTGTTGTACCGTAAGAGGAAGAGAAGACAAGGTATAAGGGTTCCTCATCACTTCTTTCACTCGGGATGTCCTTCTAATGACCTAGATCCGTATTATCCCAATCGCCTAATGAGATAGAACCCTATCCTACCAACCATTTGGAATTGTCTTGAAGGAACAAAATGTGTGGCAACAGGCTTCTCCAACCCAATGATCCTTTTATCACTCCTAAAACCAAGGAACATGGTAGCCCATTGATGTGGCAATTTTTTCATTCTTTTCATAATAATTAGCTTTATTTTAGAAAATGATATAAGTATTTTTTTCAAAAGTGCTTAATTGTTTTGTGTTATTTTGAGCTTATTTAGTTTATTGGTCTTTTTAATGTCTTATAAGTTTTTAGGTGATGATTTGAATGGAGAATTAGAAAATTTGACATTGCCACCAATTAAGCAAAATATGTTTATCTTAAAGTGCAATGTTTGATTCCCATCAAAATTATGTACCCGTCATATTTTGGCTATAACTTGGGCTACAAACCTCTAAATTAGATGATCTTAGACTCTCTAGAAAGCTAACATATATATATCTATAACTATTGTGAAGAGTTAAAGGCTATTTTGGAAGATTTGAGGGTCCAAATGGGACTATAAGTCGAAGTTAGAATCTATCTAGCAAGTTTTCAACGAGTAGGGGTTGTTCGATTTAAAGTTCATATCTTAGGCTATAGTAGTCCAATTGATGAAAGACTAGTTATGTTACAAAGCTATAATTCTGCTCTACTATTCTTATAAAGAACCAACTCAAGATGAAGTCATTATAATAGCAAAATGGAGTTTGAACGAGCTAGAAGAAATCTTTTACGGAAAAGAAAACAAACTTCAATAATGAAAGAGCGAAATCAATGGACGTGAATATAGAGACAAATTAGGGATTTTGAATAGAGGAAAGAGAAAAAAGAATGTGAAGAGAGGAGAAGAACATGAAGAGAGGAGAAGAAGGTGAAGAAAGAGGAGAAGAAGAGAATAAGAGTGTTGTCACCTTTGAATTTCAATAAGTTCTTCTTGTTTTATTTATTGTTTAAATATTTTTGTGATAAACATCATGTTGGTTAGCTAAATTCTTAAATCCTAGGGAATCATTACCGAGTTGAATATTTCTTGTTTAATATAATTTGGTGAATTTGTTTTCATGCTTGTAAATTAACCGGCCATTAGTTGCATGCCTAAGGTATCAAATAAAGTAGCTAAAGTGGAAGTTTGATATTATTTTATGGATTCTCTAATCATTATTTTTTTCTTTTTCATGAAAGTAGACAATACCAATGAGGTTAATTATAGAATTTCAAGAAATATTGACGAAGTTACATTGATTGCTTGTGATCCCAAAAGTAGACATAGTGTTAATGCGGCTAAAGTATGGAGTCTTGAAAGAGATCATCACATAAATTAGGAAATTCAACCATTGTAGGAAACATAAGAGATTTCATGTCAATAGGTTCAGATTATAGAGGTAATTCATTGATGAATCCTAACCACTAGGAGTTTCACAATCTAATAGTAATCATTTATTTTCTTTTGAAATATGTTAGTTTAAATAATTGCTATTCATATTTTTGATTGCTTAGATAATATAGGAAACCATCTATTGGTAATTAGAACTCTCTCCTCGTAGGAACAATATCCGACTCACTTTTTATTGTAGGTAGCGATCTATCCACTTATGGTAAGTTTAGCGTGGTCAAGTGTTTGGCGTCGTTGCCTAGGAGTATTTTTTTTTATATCAAAAACATGATTTCGTGTATTAATTTAGGATATACTTATTTATTTTCATTTTTATGTATTTTAAATTACCAAGCGATTGTTTTTCGCTTAGTTTTGAGAAATTTCAAATTTGTTTTATCGTTTTTTTCGTGTTTCAACAGGTTTTATGGTACTATTCATTTTGAAATTTTGTTGGAATTTGGTCGAGTTTATACTCATTTTTGAAGGAAACAATGAGCTGATATAAACAATAGTTATACTATTAGCCCCACCTTATCGAGGCCTAATTCCATCGTTTTCATATGTTTTAAAGCAATTTTGTATTAAATTTAGGGAGACAAGTAATTTATTTGAATTTGTTTCCATAATCTAGATGAGTATTTCTTTGATTTTTTTTCATGATATACTTCATTTTAATACACTTCATTGTTTTAAAAAGGTAGAAACTAGAAGTGGGTTCTTAGTGTTTAAGATAGGCTAATCCTATTCCTTTTTCTTTTGTAAGTCGGTGAGTGTATGAGACAAAGAAATTGTAAGAAAATTAAGGAAAGTAACCTAAAGATTGAATGAACTCTTAGAGAATTAAGGAGGAAGCGAGAGGGTTGAGCAAGAACAAATAGCAGCAGTAGCAAAAAATTGAAACCAAAATCGGCAGTGGTATGAGATTATGCCATGCTCGAATGTTAATGGTGCATAGACTAGCATTATGAGGAAAGTGGTGAATGCTAATAATTTTGAGATTAAACTTGGTCTAATTCGGATGGTGCGAGTGGGAGCAATTTGGAAGGCAAGCTTGTGAGGACCCAAATGGCCATTTGGCCAACTCATTAGAGATCCGCGATATAATCAAATAAATGGAGCCATTGATGATGCCATCGGACTATGATTGTTCCCATTCTTTTTGAAGGACAAGGCTAAGGCGTGGCTGAACTCTAAGTCACCTAACTCATCTACCATTTTGAATGCATTGTCGCAAGCCTTCTTGAGTAAGTACTTTCCCCAGGTAAGATTGTAAAGCGTAAAAATGATATAACTAGTTTTATTCAATTTGATGGTGAGTCTTTATATGAAGCTCGGGAAAGATTTAAGGAACTGCAGAAGAAGTGCCCACATCATGGTTTACCTTATTGGTTTTTGGTGTAAACATTTTATAATGGTTTGACACATCTATTAGAATCACTATAGATGCGAGTTGCAGGAGAGGCACTAATGGGTAAAACTATAGAGGAGGCTTTTGAGTTATTGGAAGACATGGCTTCCAATAATTATTAGTGGTCAAATGATCGACGTACACCCAAGCGAGCTCCAAGTATGTATCATGTGGATTGTATTAATATGTTGAATTCCAAGGTATATAACTAGGTAAAGATGTTTGGTAAGATAGAAAATGTTAATTCTATCGCTAATCTTAATGTCGAGTTTAATTGTACTTGGTATGGAGGTGATCACATTAGTTTTGCTTGTTTGTAAGTTGAGTAGGCACGAGTTCATGACAAAATCTAATAGGCGGCATCGAATAATTCGTACTCTAACACCTATATTTAAGTGTGGAGAAATCATCTAAATTTCTCTTGGAGAGATCGGGGTAACCAAGGCAGTGGCTCAAGATCTCAACTACCACCTGGATTTTTACGAAATAAGGCCAACTAGAGAGCAAGCCAACTTCGGAGTTAGTAATTGAGAGGCTAGTAAATGTAACTTCTAAAAGATTTAAAAGATTGGAGCTAAAATTTGAGCGAGATGAAGATATCCAATAGGAATGTGGAGGTTCGGTTGGGACGACTAGCAAATACAATAAGTTTTCATGGTCAAGGTAATTTACCAAGCAAAAACTAAAGTGAACCTAAAAAGGCACTACAAGGTCGTAACTTTAAAGAGTGGCAAGTAGATTAGAGAGGTAAATGGAGGTGGTGTTACTCGTGTTAGAAAAAGAGATAGGAGATGAGGAAGTGAGTCAAATAGTAAGAGTAGAAAAAGAAGAAGAAGTAAAAGTATTGCTAACCCAAGTTAAACCCTATGTTTTCACTATTCCTTTTGCTTAAAGACTCAATCAAAATAAGTTAGATAATCGAGTTTAAGAAATTCCTTGATGTGTTTAAGCGAGTTGTGTGTTAACATTCCTTTTGTAAATGCTTTGGCATAAATTCCATCTTATGATACGTTTCTTAAGGAGATCATGTCAAAAAAAAAAAAAAGAAAGAAAGAAAGGGAAATTGGAGGGCTATGAGACTATAGCCTTAATAGAAGAGTGTAGTGCTATGATTCAAAATAAGCTTCCATCAAAGCTAAGAGATCTAGGGAGTCTTTTAATCCCTTGTACCATTGGTGATTTTAACCTTTCAAGAGCTTAATGTGATTTAGGTGCAAGTGTGTCCCCAATTCCTCCGATTGTGTGTAGAAGCTAGGTTTGAATGAAATTAAATCTACGAACTTATCTTTGTAGTTACTCGACCATTTAATGAAGTACTCATTAGGTTTCTTGGAAAATGTATTAGTTAAGATCAAGAAGTTCATTAGTCTAATTGTCCTAGAGAATGAGAAAGATACAAAGATATCAATTATATTGGAGTGACCTTTCTTAGCTATCATGAGAGCTATCATTGATGTGAAGGATGATATATTAACATTCAAAATCGAGGAAGAGGAGGTAGAATTTAATTTGTTTGATTTTGTTAAGTACCCTTCTTTTATTGATGATGTTTTTTCGAGTTGATATTATAAATAAGCTAACCGAAGAGGTTTTTAGCGTTAGTACCCTAGTAGAACTTCTTAAAAATTGCTTGAAACATGGTGAAACAAGTAGGAATGAGGTTTTAAGTGTTTTAGTAATAAAAAATACAATGGTTGTTGGAGGTCGTTTGCCGGGGTCCAAAGGAATCATGTTTGAGAAATTGAGTAAAGGTAATCTATTGCTCCTATCATCTCATATACAAGTACCGGAGGTAAGGTTAAAACCATTGTCTTCTAATCTCGGGTATGCTTTTTTAAGGGATAATGATACATTGCATGTTATTATGAATGCTTCCTTGATCGATGTTCAACTTGATAAACTGCTATGAGTTTTAAGATTGAAAAAGAAAGCCATAGGATGGACTATATTAGATATTAGAGGAATTAGCCCTTACGCATGCATACCTAGAATCCTAATGAAAGATAAGTAGAAACTCGTTGTTGAAAGTCAAAGAGATTAAATCCTAACATGAAAGGGACAATAAGTTTTCATATTTTGAAATGGTTAGATGTAGGAATTATATATCCTATATCCGATAGTTCATGGGTAAGCTCGATGTATGTAGTACCTACGAAAGGTGGGATGACTCGTGATACAAAATGAAAGTAATGAATTTATTCCCACTAGGACGATTACAAGATGGAAAGTCCGTATAGATTATAGGAAACTTAATAGTGCTATTTGAAAGGATCACTTTCCACTTCCATTTGTTGATCGGATGTTAGAGAGACTTGATGGGTATGAGTACTATTGTTTCTTGTATGGTTATTTAGGGTATAATCAGATTTCAATTACCCTAGAAGACCAAGAAAAGACCACTTTTATCTATCCATATGTTACTTTTTCTTTTTGTAGAATTCCTTTTGCATTATGTAATACACCTATGACATTTCGGTGTTGCATGATGGCTTTGTTTTCCGATTTTATTGAGAAAATCATGAAAGTTTTCGTGAATGATTTTTCTATGTTTGGATCTTCTTTTGATAACTATTTGGTTAATTTATCTCACGTTTTGCGAGTATTGTGAGGAGGCTAATTTGGTCTTGAATAGGAGCAATGTCATTTTGTGGTGCGGGAAGGCATTATCGTAGGTCACGAGGTTTTAGCAAAGGGAATAGAGGTGGATTGAGCAAAAATTAAGGTTATTGAGAAATTGCCACCACCTATGAATGTGAAGGGAGTTAGAAGTTTTTTTGGTCATAGAAGGTTTTACGGGCATTTCATCAAGGATTTCTCAAGAATTTTTAAACCCTCTCGTAACCTATTAAACAATGATGTGCCTTTTGATTTTGATACTAATTATTTAAGTGCTTTCAACGAGTTGAAGTAAGAATTAGTGTCTACACCAATCTTGGTCGTGCCGGATTGCGGTTGCCTTTTGAGCTAATGTGTGATGCTAGTGGTTTGGCTCACAGGGGTATGCTTAGCCAAAGGAGAGATAGGAAGTTACATGTTATTTATTAAGCTAGTAGAGTTTTAAATTCTACATAAATAAATTATGCAACTATTGAAAACAAAAGCTTCTTATGGTTTTTACGGTTAACAAATTTTGATCTTATTTTGTAGGATCCATGGTTATTGTGCATATTGATCACTAAGCTCTCTAGTATCTATTGGCTAAGAAAGATGCAAAATTGTGTTTCATTTAGTGGTTTCTATTGCTCCAAGAATTTGACATTGAGATTTGAGACAAAAGGGAAAGGAAAATATGGTGGCGGATCATTTGTCTAGGATGACAAGACAAGAGATAGAGGAAGAGACACCAATAAATGAAAGCTTTTCGGATGAGTAATTAATGGTAGTGTCAATTGTTCTTTGGTATGCGGATATGGTGAATTACTTGGTGAGTGGTATTATTCCATCCGATGTGAGATATCATAAAAAAGAAGTTTTTGAGTGATGTAAAGTACTACCTTTGGGAAGAGCCACTTCTTTATAAGCATTGTTCGGATGGGATGATCATAAGATGTGTGCCCTTTAAAGAGATTATTGACATTCTTCACCATTACCATTCATTAGATTATGGTTGACACTTTAGTACTTCCAAGATAGTTGCAAAAGTATGGTAGCTCGGATTTTACTAGCCCACTATGTATAAAAATGGTAGACAACTTATCGAGTATGTATGATAAGTGCTAGAGCGTTATAAATGTTTTCAAGAGGAATGAAATGCCATTAAGCAATATCTTAAAAGCTAAGTTATTTGTTGTACAAGGAATTTATTTAATAGGCCCATTCCCTCCTTCCTTTAATAATCACTACATTTTGGTAAGTGTTGATTATGTTTTTAAATGGATCCAAGTAGTTGCAATGCCAACTAATGATTCTCGAGTGGTGATGCAATTTATGAAGAAAAACATCTTTTCTAGAATTTTATTGAAGAAATATAGGGTCACTCATAAAGTAGCATTTGCTTATCATCCCTAAATAAATAGGCGAGTGGAACTTGTAAATAGAGAGTTGAAGCTAACTTTGGAGAAGATAGTTAACAAGTTAAGGAAGGATTGACAAAGAAGCTTAATGATGCATTTTGGGCATACATAACAGCATTTAAGACACCTTTAGGTATGCCTCCATATAGACTTGTCTTTGGAAAATCTTGTCATTTACCGGTTGAATTAGAACACAAGACTTATTCAATAATTCGAGAGTTGTGAACATGGATTTGAAGGCTCCGGCAAAAAAAAAAAAAAATTATAGTTAAGTGGGTTGGAAGAGTTCAAATTGGATGCTTATGAAAGTGATCAACTTTACAAGGAAAAGACCAAGTATTGGCATGATAAACATATTCGGAAGAAGAATTTTGAGGTTGGTAAGCAAGTACTACTTGTTCAATTCAAGGCTTAAGCTCTTCCTAGGTATGCTTAGATCTAATGGTTAGGTCCATTCACGGTGACAAGATTTTTTCCTTATGGTGCTATTAAGGTGCATAATGAACCCTCTAGTGCTTTCAAGGTGAATAGGTGTATAGTGAAGCCAATCATGATGACAAGAGTATTTCCTTATGGTGCTTGTTGAGGTACATAGTAAAGCCTCTAGTGCTTTCAAGGTGAACGGGTAGCTTTTGAAACCTTATCATATTGGAGAGGTGGTACCTATAAGAGTGACATACTCTCTGAAAGATCCTAGCTATGGGTGATCATGAGATAGTCAAGCTAATAACTATGGACAAACGCTTCTTGGGAGGCAACCTTAGTTATCTAAACTTTTATTTACTTCACTTCTTTATGTATGTTTTTATTTAATTTCTTCTTCTTCTTCTTCTTCTTCTTCTTCTTATTATTATTATTATTTATTATCTTTGGTATAGGTTTGCTTGCATAAAGAGTATGATGCGGAACTTCAAGTTTCCACTTCAATTTGTGGCTACCGAACGCAAATCGGGGAAGTTTCTCTTATCCTTTTCTTTTCTTTCACATTAAGGAAAATGCATGAATTCATTTTGGGGGTGGATTTATGATTCTACTACTTGTTTAACTTGTTTGGTGTGATTTTTATGCAAAATTTTAATGAAACTATCGACAATTATATAGTTTTGGCTAATCCTTGAACTAAACATTTATGTGAAAGAAGAAAAAAGATGAATTGGTTGGTTGAAGTCATAAGTTACATTCAAGTTTCTTGTCATGTTATCATTGAATTTTTAACTTAGGATAGGCAATATATTATAAAGTGAGATTAAGCATACTTAGGTTTTCCAAATCATTGAAGTGTAGGTTCCTTACAAAAGTATGTGATTTGTGTGGCTATGCATAAGAGATGAGTGTGAGGCTTTTTTATGATTATCCCTTTTTACAAAAAAAAAAAAAAAAAAAAAACAACAAACAAACAAACATGTAAATGGTGGGAGAGCATAAAATGCAACCACCTAAGAAAAGAAGAAGAATAAAAAAAAAATCAAGCTAATGGGGAAAACATATGGTGAAATTGAGAAAAAATAAAAAAAAATATATATATTCACTCAACGGTAAAAACATGTGTATAGTGGGAGAGCATAAGAAGCAATCACTATATCGAACATTGTTTGAGATGGAAGAGAATAAAATGCAACCACCAAAAAAAATTTTTTTTGTTTGAAGGGATGGTTACAAGGATAGTTGTCACATGATTTGATTGTGTTGGTTGCATAATGAGCATGATTGATTTGGAATTATGTGTGGACACTAGAGCTGAAGAATGTGAGTATGCTTAGTTTTCCTTTGTTTATTACTACGAAGTGCTGAATTGAGGATTCAATGTTGGCACGATAGGTACTTTGAGTGTGATGAGTGATTTCAATTATGCTTGATATCCTTTACTCTAAATGTGTTTTTCTTTTTCTTAAGGAAAAGAAAACATTTAATTTCAAGGATATTTGATGCGGCAATTTGTTTATATTCTTTTCTCAATAATTAGCTTTGTTTTAGAAAATGATATAAGTATTTTTTGCTAAAATACTTAATTATTTTGTGTTATTTTGAGCTTATTTAGTTTAATGGTCTTTTTAATGTCTTTTAAGCTTTTAGGTGATGATTTCAATGGAGAATTAGTAGATTTGACATGGCCATTAATTGGGCGAAATGTATTTTTCTTGAATGCGATGTTTGATTCGTTAAAACTATGTACCTGTTATATTTTGGCTATAACTTGGGCTATAAACATCCAAATTAGGTGATGTTGGACTCTCTGGAAAGCTAGTACATAGATATATAACTATTGTGAAGAGTGAAAAGCATATTTTGGAATATTTAAGAGTCCAAACAGGGCTATAAGTCGAAGTCAAAATCTGTCCAACAAGTTTTCAACAATAGGGCATGTTCGGTTCGAGAGATCATATCTTAGGCTATAGTAGTCCAATTGATGAAATCCTAGTTGTGTTAGAAAGATACAACCCAGCCCTACAAATATTATGGAGATACCAACTCAAGATAAAGTCATATTAATGGCAAAAATTGAGTTTGAACAAGCTGGAAGAAATCTTTTACGGAAAAGGAAACAAACTCCAATAATGAAGGAGCGGAATCAATGAGTGTGATTATGGAGACAAATTTGGGTTTTTTAATAGAGGAAAGGGAGAAGAAAGAACATGAAGAGAGGAGAAGAAATTGAAGAAAGAGGAGAAGAAGAGAATCGGATTGTTGTCATCTTTGAATTTCAACGAGTCCTTCTTGTTTTATTTCTTGTTCAAATCTTTTTGTGATTAACATCATGTTGCTAAATTCTTAAATCCTA